GCCTGGTAAGTTCCTGTGAGAAAAGAATTGTAACAGTGAGAATCAGATAACAATCTATTCTTGTAAGACAGTTTGCACCTGCAAAAAGAGAGATTCTACCCCTGTGAAACATCCACTTCCCAGGAGATGAAGAATGCAAACATCTCCAGGAGGAGAAAAGTTTGATGCTCATGTACACTTAGCCTTTACCAACCAATGAACTGAATTTCAATGAATTGCTAGTCAGTTAAGCATGGTGCCTTCTGAGAATCACAGAAATATGAGCTATGTGACTACAGATTCTGCAGGAAAAAACAGGTGTCCTGTCCATCTCTATTGCAACATCAAACCACACAATATAATTTATTATGTATTTTATTGGACCAACAATTGAACTGAGAAAACAGGCATTTCTACAGGAAGTTGTAAAGGACACCAGGGAATACCCAAAACAGAAGCTGTCTTTTTCAAATATGGCTGGTCTAGGAAAACTCTCCCTTCCTGCATGTACTGTGTGGAATGGGATACCAGATTTCTCCAATATACTGCTATGGTTCACTTGCTTGTTGACATGTTTATTGCTGAATATGATAGTCAAAGCCCTTTGATGTTAACTGTAGAAAACCAATAGTTAAAATCTGTTACATTCAATTACCTCTGGCAAAAGATCATTACTCCTAAGCCAAGCTACCTGGACAGAAATTAGGTTCACAAACATAATAACTTCAAATAGTTTTGTATAAAGGACAAATCTATACCATATGATTCAGGATATCAAATAAACCATTGCAAAGAACAGACCAGATGCACTCAGCTCCACATACCCTTGTGAGAGGATTTGTAATTCTCAATTACACATTTATGTCATTTCATTATCAGATCAACTGATAAATACTGCATGAGAAACCGAACACTAAGAAATTTATTACTTGAATTATGGTAAGATATATTTACATCCAAAGTCCTCCTAATCAAAAATCAGTAAAGCATATTATTCTTTAATCAAAAATCAGTAAAGCATATTATTCTTTACTATACTGAAATGAATACATCACTATTCATTTGTAGTAAAATAATCAGTATATCAAAATCAGGTGATCAGTGAATGAACATCTTAGAGAGGTACCATCTTCCTATTGTGAGGGATACACAATCCTGGTGCAACTCAACAGCATCATATTTAATTTCTCCAACAATGTTTTACCAAACATCACAGCAACAAGTGAAGTTCTAAAATACAGGTAAATAAGTGTAATAACTAGTATGGTCAATAATTTAGAGATATTTTTAGAAAAATTAATCATGTATTCACCCAGTGTTAAAAGCAAGTGATATAAATTAATTTACTATTTCCCACACCTCAGAATATTTTTAATTATATATCTACTATACTGTATACTGATATTTATCTGAAAAGGTTGATGAAAGTAAGGTCTTAATTGATGGTTCCATCCTTCTGAGCATCTTCATCACACAACTTGCTAATCAAAGGTATTTTACCTGAAAAAAATACTACAAGTTACAAATACTGCAAATTACAAGTAGGAAAGTTACATGCAAAAGGTACTTATTGCTCTGCCATGCTAAAAACTGCGTACACATGGGAAATATTCTATTTATCCCAAACACCCTTTTTCACTTATCTTTATCTTTTCTATGATTTGCATAACAAATCAGAACTGAGGCACATTTCTACTGTTACCTATAGCACAAGTTTTCACACACCCATTTACCTGTGTGGCCACTCTGAGCGGGATTCACTGCCACTCCTCAAACACGAGTTGGGGAAACCCAGGCTGAGTTCAGAGGGACACACAGGAGAAAGTCACAGTCTTCTCCAAAGCAAAAGACTTTGTTGTTCTGTTTGCCCAATGTATAACAACTTAATATTTTTTTGTTACATCTCACGAATAAATAAGCTATACTGTTTTTGTGTCACATGGTTTTGAAAAACCTTCAGCACACCTGCACAAACAACCATGCACACACAGACATAAGACACTTAAAATTCTTTTGTTAAAAGCTGCACAGCCAGAAACATTTGGGTAAGCACTGGTGAGTGTTAAAGCTCTGAGAGCCTCTCCCATCAGTGTTGCTCCTCCACCTCCACAGCAGGGCTGAGTTCCAGCAGAGGTTGGATGGGGCTGATCCATCACTCTCAGTCCACACCTGGATCCTTCTCCTCGGATATGGGCAGGGCCCGGGGATGAATTCACATCCACTCCCAGAAGGAATACCTGAGCAACTCAAAGAAAAAAAAAAACGAACAAACTTTCTCCCCCTCTGTTAAGAGTGATATACAATGCTGGCTTAACACAATGGAGATTACCTGCTCCTTGTACAGCACAGTTTCCTCACACGAAGCTGTTGTTACGACACAAAAGAAGTTCCCACATTGGCATGCAGGTATTTTACTTACACCTAAGTGCCCCACAGAGTCCTTGTACATTCATGCCCTTGCACTGGAGCTGTCGGCAGCTATTTCACACTGGCACCACCCTCTCTGAGACACTCAGGTAGGACCTCAGGGCAAGAGGGGCATGGAACAAAGCTGTGAAGCCCTTTACAAAGTAATGGTAATTTCTCCAGCCTTACAACAAGTAGCAGCTAAATATTTTTGTCCCCTTAGCGTTATCTAGATAATAAACAACCTGTACTGTTTTCTTCTAAAATATTCTTATCTTAGTTCTCCACTGTGTTACAAGCACATACACAATCAGAATACAGAATTTTCTGTTGAGATCTCCACCAGCTGAAAAGCATTAGAGTCATCCCAGCTTGTAAGTTATATATTCATCAAGTACCTCTAAATGGCAGCGTGTTGATGTCATAAAGTAAATATTTAACTACAGTCATCAATCCTCGGAACAGTTCTCCTTATTTCACACATCAGAAGTTTCTGATTTTCTCCAGGGAATTTCTGATCACTTCCACTAGTGTTATCTAATACCCCCTAATTCTACTCTTTCCTACTTCTGTATATACAAGTCACTCCAGCACTTAAATAAAGAATACAATCCAAAGTCACTACTGGAGACACAAGCACAGACACAAATCACTGTCAGTCCCTGGATTTCCTAGTAGCAAAATCATTCCACTCACGTATCCCAACAGTTTCTTTGGTGTGCAGCTTTTAACCCAACCCAGCCTATCCCAACATTTTTCGCATTTTTCCCAACACTCAACAAATCCTTACAGTAGATGTGAGGTGATTAATTGCTTCTATCTTGTCCTTTGGAGAGGCCAAAGGAGGCACAGATCCATGGGATCTCTGGGAAGGAGAGAGATGGGAGCTCCTGAATAGGTGTGTGCCGGTGCAAACCAGCCTCATGCACTTCAGGGAACCACTTCAGCCCGTTTCTGGAATGTATGGTTAAGGTTTACGGTCACTGACCAAAACCAAACAAACATAAAAACCCAAACAGGAAAACGCACAAACAAATTAAAAACCCGAAACAAACAACAACAACAACAACAAAAATTGTTTTCACACGCGTAAAACTACTGCTGGTCCTTTCAGCGCGGAAAGCTGGGTGGAGACGGGGCTCTGCAATACTCGGTAAATGTGTGGTTAACTGTGGAGCAGCAGCACCCAGAGCTGCGGACACACGCCCTGCTCCTGCTCGGCCGGCATCCTGCCACCAGCACACCGTGCACCTTCCTCCGGGGGAGCAAAACCACAACCAGCTTCTCAGCCATTAACCCAGGGCACAAAAAGTCCGGCTTAACAGAAGAACAGGTTTGCAGGAACAGAGCCTAACGCCACACCGAGGTCCGGGCAGAGGCTGAGAGGTCGGGCAGGTGTCTGGAAACAAAGCCCAGGCAGAGCCCAAGCACCGCAGCCCCAGCGCTCCCCACGACCCCTGTTTGCCAGGGCTCAAACGCCCTCCAGGGGAGTTTCTGCCCCGCCCCGGGGTGGCCCCAGCCGGGACGGGGGCGGCAGGGGAGCAGCCCCGTGACTGCGCCGCGCCCTTTGATGAAAGGCAGGAAGCGGCGCCGCTTTTTCTTCCGCCGCTGCTGCTGCACCGCCGGGAGAGGCTGTCCCAGCTCCTGATCCCACCGCACAGCCCCAGGAAAGGCTGTCCCAGCTCCTGATCCACTCGGATCCCACCGCACAGCCCCGGGAGAAGCTGTCCCAGCTCCTTATCCACTCGGATCCCACCGCACAGCCCCGGGAGAAGCTGTCCCAGCTCCTGATCCGCTCGGATCTCACCGCACAGCCCGGGAGAGGCTGTCCCAGTTCCTGATCCGCTCGGATCTCACCGCACAGCCCCGGGAGAGGCTGTCCCAGCTCCTGATCCCACCGCACAGCCCCGGGAGAAGCTGTTCCAGCTCCTGATCCACTCGGATCTCACGGCACAGCCCGGGGAGAGGCTGCCCCGGAGCCGTTCCGCCCGGGTCCCCCCGGGACAGGTAGGGCAGCGCTGAGAAGAGGGATGAGGTGCTCCTTCTTCCTCGGGGGCTCCCCGGGACCTCGTCCTGCTCTCCCGGAGCTGCCGGGGCCGGGTGGCAGAGCGCTGTGCCCTGGCCACGGGCAGCCCCGCGGGAGCGTCCGGCGGTGGCCCCGGGTGGCTGTCGCACGTCCCCGCCTCGGGCAGAGATCGTGTTTTCACCTGCGTCGGGTGACTCCGTGCAGAGTTACAGGGTTTATTTCCCCCGTGAAGGGTTTATTTCATGCCTCTGACAAAACGAGCTTTGTACCTGCTCCCGTCGGGGAGATTTTATTACCTCCTCCGGCAGGGAAGGCGTAGCTCTGCAGTTTCCGAGCCTACCTGGGGCACCCTGCGGGGGCTCTTTCCCCGACAATTCGCCGGCGAGCGCGGCTGCCGCTGTGTTTGGCCGGGAGGGGAGAGCAGGAAGGCGGCGAGAGCGGCCCCGGTGACACGTGCGGGTGTTACACAACGAGAGCTCCGCAAGAGACAGGCAGGACCAGTTCGGGTCGGTGTCTCTTCAAGGGACCCATTAGCCCCGAGTGCGTGTAGGTGCTTGCGCTGGGTGACTTCACCGGCAGGAGCCACTCAGGGCTCATCGCTGACGCTTTGCGAGGGTTGCGCTGTCATTCTTGGTTAACTCACGTTTAGTTTCTGTCTGACAGATCCCGGCCATGTTCGCGGTTTTGGTGGTGCTGTGTCAACTCCACGGGACGGTGTTCGCCTTTCCGCACTGCCCTGGGAGATTGAGTAACTTGAAGCTACCTGAATGGAGAGATGGTAACTTAATTTTAACGTGATTTTGTGTTTTTCAAAACTGTTTCTAACTTTGCTTTGCTGGCTTCTTTAATTGTTGTTTGATTGTTGTTGTTTTGGTTGTTTGGTTTTTGCGGGGTTTTTTTTGTGGTTTTGTTGTTTGGCGGTTTTTTGTTTGGTTGTTTTTTACTTTATGAAAAAATTAAGCTATTTTATGCTTAATTCCAGATTTTTTTTTAATATGTTTAGCTGAAATGATTGATAATTGACTTCGGTGTTAATATCAAGTATTTATCAGATCTAGTAGTAAGTGCAGATTGGGACAACTGAACTTTTTCCAGGCCTCTGGAATTATTGTGGTTGATACAACCGGGATCCTTTAAGTAACATCAAAATTCAAAAAGTTTGAAACCTGCGTTAAGACAGTATTGTTTGGTACTGTTTGAGCACATCACAGTTGCATTTGTATATCTGAAATTGCTTAGTATGTGAAAGGATTTATTTGGCTGGTTTTTGAAATTCATATTTTCTCTCAATACCAGACCCCCTTACAACACCTGGGAAGACAAGCATAGTGCTGCTTTTGCAGTTCTTCCCTGAGGAGGGAGGGAAGTGGACAGGAACTCATATAAAAACAAATAAGCCTTACTGAGCATATTGTGTGGTTGCATTTTTAATTAAATGCTCAGCATCCTAAAACTGCATGGATTATTTTATCAAACCAAGGACTGCAAAACTGCATTCAGACCCCTCACCATTAGGACACAATGCAAATCCATCTGTTTCATTCTTCAAATACTGTTTTAATCACTAGGTAGCAAGTAAGTTGGAGATGGAGATATGGAGATTTGTGAAAAAGTAAGAAAAATGCAGATAAATGGATAAAAAAATCTTGAAAAGAAAAGAATGGTCCATGTATCCCTGGGAATTGAGGGTTCTAGGATGCAGGCAGCTTGCTTATGCATTTCATTTTAAACAAAATGTATGAGTTCTCTAAGTTAATTCAAAGGACAGCTAATACTACTTGTATGGTAAAGAGTGAAACACTACTGAGCAAAACTGAAGATCTCTGCTTCAGAAGACTGAAATTACTTTTGCAATTTGCAATGAACCAAGAATAGTGATAATATTTTTTTTCCCATGTAATTCTTTTCCCTTTCCACTTGTGGGTTTGAGGGAGTTTTGATTTTGGTTTTGGCTTTTGGTTTTTTTGTTACTAAGTCCTTTTCTCTGGTTACTCTAGGTATAGTATAAATATTTTAAGCTTAGATTTTCTTGCAATTGCTTTAGAATAAAGAAAACAAATGCATGTGCACGTGTAGTGTAACAGTATGCAAATTCTATAAATATATGCTGTCATATTCCTTAAATATACTATCATATTAAAGATAATAATATAATATTAAAGAAATAAACAACCAATATGCAAGTTATGCTGCAGTTTTCTCAGTTTTCAGAGAGCAAATAGTTATGAAATACCACTCTAAGATCTAACAGTAACTATTAGGGTGAAAATTCCAGAGCAGTGTGATAATCCTGCCAAACAGGCTAACAAGTACACAAAGCTAATTTGTAGATGAATAACTTTATCCTGAATCTCATCTCCTTTTTTAACCATCTGGCTTGGTATGTAACAATGCTGTTTCTGCATTACACTTGCAAAAATAATCCTCTAGTCATTTTGCTCAACCAAATAGCCTGAATGTCCTGCACATAGATTAGGCTCTCACTAGAAACCTAGTTTTGTCCTGTAACATTTTTTTTCTTTTTAAATAAGAAACTGTAGCAAGAGCAGGCTAAAACTTGACTATGGAAAATGCCTAGTGAGGAAATACATTCCTGTATTCCAAAGCCTTCTAGCCTTCTATAATTTCACTCACTGTTCTGGAATCTCACCTCACAACTTACTCCAAGATGCCTCAATGAACATAAAAGAAGAGAATCAATAAATGTCTTCAGAAAGACATGTTATACATGTTGTCAGTAAAATTCATATCCTGGACAAACATATTAAAGAAATAAATAAACAAATAAACTTGGCAATATGACACCTTTACAGAAAGCTTGTTGCCACAATTGTGGAAAGAGAACAACTGTAGAATGAATAGGAATCTGCTGATGTGATTTAAAAACTAAATTCTGTAAATAAAATAAATCGCAGATGCCAGAATTGATAAAAGTATATTTGTTTTTTTCCTTTCCTCACCCTTGCCTCCTTCCCCCACTGGGTCAGGGTGTTGCTTACTTTGGATCTGACTGAATTTTGCTTTATGTGACAATTACTTTGTTCTTAAGATCTCCAGTAAAAACTGATGCTCACATCCCAGAAGGGTCACACCAAAACATGACCAACAGTTCTCATAACAATCAAATTCTCTTGGCCAGGATAAGGAATAGTTGAGATGGCTTATGAGAAAGGCAAATACATTTATTTTATGTTACATAGTTAGAAAATATAGTAGTGAAGAAGATATTTTAGGAGGAGACCTTGATATTTCTTTCCCTTGTATGTAGCTGAGAGATGGATGCTAGGGCAAGAAATGATCCCAATGTGCTCCTTTAAGATCTTTACCATTCTTTAAAAATACCAAATTTAGCCTTCCTAACTTGTTTTAAATCAACCTGATTTTTTTTTTCATTAGTGTTCACATCTGCAAGGGAGGCCAATTTATTCATTGGACGACATCTTCTGAACAACAGATTTGATTTTGAAGCATTCACAGACGATAACCTGGAGAGAGAATGCTTTGAAGAAGTGTGCAATTATGAAGAAGCAAGAGAAGTTTTTGAAGACCCTAATAAAACGGTAGCAGTTCAAATTGAATTTAATATAGTGAGGGCTAAATAACCTTACCTTTGTACACAAATGATTGTAACATAAATGATTGTACACAAATACTGTAACTCCTCTAACACAGCACTGGGAGATGACTACTTATTTTCTACAAGTAGATATCTCAGTTACACGGGGTTCTTGCTGTAGATACACAGTGAATGCACTTGAAAATATATTACTGTCTTAAAGACTTGAGATGTGGACTTTAATTCTGCAAACAAATAGAAATGAAGCTTCAGAAGTCTCACTTGCAGATATTCTATATTTTCAGACTTCTGGATTTTTTAGTAACTTCTCAGCATCCAATTTAAATGTTTCATGTGCTCTCTGTATTAACTGACTGCTTTAATCCTTGTGTCATGCCAAAGTAGTGTTTTGTAAGAGGCCACTATGGAGCAAATCTGCAGCTCAGCTATTGCTGAGTATTCCTGTAGCACCATATTCTAACTCCTACATGTAGCTGAGAAGAAACCTGATTTATATATATCTATAGATATAGATATAAAAAAGAAACCTTTCAGCTCAATGAAGGAATGTGAGGATTGTCTGATGACTGGTTGTTGCACATGCAGCAAGAATCTTCTTGTAATTCTAAGTGTGCTCTGCAGGAAGAGCAAGGAATACACCCCTGCTCCAAAGGTGGAAGTGTTAGCTTGCTGTTGCTAACACTTTCCTAAGAAAAAGGTGAAATTTTAAATTGAAATCTTGCTGGAGTCTTTTGCTAGGTAGCAAAAATGAAAATTATAACTCAACATATTTAATGCCTGATGGTCATACAACATAAAAGTTTTTCTCTTAAGTAAATCCCACTGTTTTTCCTAGCTGATAAGAATTCAAATACTGTTCATGCAAATGTTGGAATCTTAAGAACTTAACTTTGCCTCAAATGCTATTTTGTAGAGATTTGCAAAAAATAATTGTAAGCATTTTTTTGGTGTCAGAATATACCCTAACTTCTATTGTAATCAGACAGAAATATGAGGTAGCACTGGATGGTTAAATACGTTTTCATCTTTTACCAACTGGGACCTGAGAAATTTTAATGCAAAGTTGTAGAAGAAAAATACAAGTAAATACAAATCTCTCAGCAGGAGTTATTTCTGTTTATGCCATTGTTAAATTCTGCCCAAAGTACCATATTAAATGTAAGTCAATAGGGCTGTCACTTATCTATCTCATATAAATCTGATTTTTTTTGGGTTTTATAGATGGATTTTTGGAAAGACTATTCAACTAAAGGTCCTAAAATAAAAACAGGTAAGTAATCCTTTTACTTTTTTATTACATTGCAATATATTCTGGTTGTTATAATACTACATTCTTAATAGATCATGCATTCAGTTAAACAAATCAGAAATTATCTTTTTACTGAAGATCACTGTGAACTGTACACATATATTTAATTATCTAATACAATAAAACTGAAGCATCTTAAAGTGGGATCCATTATAGGTCTATGGGTAAAAACTGTGATTTCCTTGACCATTTCTTTATTACACAAATGGTAAACTTTGCAGTAATTCTGTGGCTGCTCCCTGTGGTTGGTTTTGGTTTTCCTCCCCCCCATTTCTTTAATAGTTATAGTTAACAGCCTGATTTAGGCTCAGAGTATTCTGATGCCATAAGTTTAATAAAAAATGGTCAGTTGGACTTGAGGAAAGATCTACAGGTCACAAGTACATGAAGGAATATTTGGAAGGCATTAGAAGACAGGCATCTCAACAGTTTCATGTAAAAAAAGGAAATATCAACTCCCTTTGCTTTCAGCTGCCTGTGAATGATTCTTTGGCTCATGTTGCACAGATGTACTTGTTTCTTACAGCAAGTTAGACATTTGTGGAAGGAACAGCCTTAGAGCAGTGCAAAAGAAGTGTTTTACAGTGTAAACTGTAGTCTGGGTAGAAGGAAAGAACACATAATGAAAATCACCGATGTTTTCTCTCCAGGTGATGAGGCACTACAAAAGATTAACGTCACAGCGCTGCTCATCAGCCTGGTTGCTGCTGGAGTACTCTTGGTTATAATTGCCCTCATTATCTTCTACTGCTGCAAGAGCAGATGCAAATCAAGGCAACCATCAGGGTAAGGAATTCCACTGCTTCAAAAACCCAAACACACACCAAAACAAACTCTTGTTTAAGAGTGGCATTTAAAAAATCACTGTGGGTTGGTCTAAGTATATTCTCAGAAAATCCAGTAGAAGTTCTGGTTTTTACTTGCCTAGAAGCCAAGTTAAGTGAACACCAGCTCAACTACTCAAAGTTAAGTTGAGCACCAGCTGCAGTTAATAACACAAAAACATAAAAACATAAAATATTGCACACTCAGACCTTTGGGTTTGCTTATTTTTTTATTGCATGTGTGTGTGGTTTTCGTTTCAAAATATTCTTACTAAGATGATGGAATAATTTTGGTAGGTGGGGGCCTGCAATGGGAATTCTAATGTGTTCTGTTGGTGCTTTCAAATAAACTGTATGCTCTTCATGGCACGTGCTCTACCTCAGATGTAAAAGTTGTAGTAGATGATGAAGCAGTTTGGAGGAAATGCTTTTTTTACCAAGTCTCTATTTGTGACTGCTCCTTTGTCCTAAACTTGAAAGGATTGAAGAGGATTCTGTGCTTTCTCTCTGATAAATTTCACATCACTGTTCTTACCCTGTGGTTTGGAGAGAGTATTTGACTTCTGCTCTTTTTGATCACTGCAGGCATAGTTTTTTCTCTTGTGGGGTTTTTTGGGTTGTTTGGGGCTTTGTTTATTTTATGATTAAGACTTTATCTTCTTGCTTCCCTTTAAAGCAGAAATTTCCACTTACCTGCTGTTACCTTTGTTTAGGTACTTGGATTATGTGAGAGGCAGAAGACGAAGCTCAGCCAACATGTTCAGGAGGCACGAGGAGTTTTCTTTGAGCCCCCTCGCTGTGGGAGCTGAGGACTCAGGACTGCCCAGTTACGAGGAGGCAGTCAGTGCAGCCGGGCAGCACAGCGTGCCCCCACCGCCCTACCCAGGGCCCCCCAGGGATGCCCCCAGGCTCTTCACCAAGTCCATGTCCCTCCCTGGCCCCTAGGCACAAACCTCCTGCCAGGCTGAGGAGGGATTAATTACTGCTACATAACATACTTTTGGAAAAGTGTGTGCTACCTTGCATATTGCAAGATGATTTACAGGAATGTGAAAGATCTCTTGGATAACTAGGAACGAGTGAAGTTCCCATTTGGGAAAAGAGGTCACCTGTGGCAAAGGCTGCAGGACTTTTCTTTGCACAAAGTCACTGTGCTAAGGGGTGAGAATGCATAAAGAGCAAGTCTTGTACTCTTCCATGTGAGCCATCCCATCAAACTACTGATGTCTCATTAATTGGTGCATTTTCTTTTTCTTCAGAAAGAACAGTATTTTAATTGCTCATATTGATACTAACCAATTTTTGTGACTTCACACTTTAAACCACCATAAGAAGTCTACTTTGTTTGACGTATTCCCTTTGCTGGGATAATTTTCTATTCATTCTTGTAATAGATTTGAGTGCAAAAATGATTTCATGACTTGATCTTTCAAATATACATATATACAGTACTGCTACTGGATTACACTGGTTTGCTTTAGACATTGCTGGTCACACAACTCAATTTGTTATATTTTTATGGTCATAATTTTGCATGAAAAGTATTCTTTACATGGCACACTACCAATTTAGACAAAGCACACTTGCATCAAATTGTTTTGATGTTCAACAGTAAATACCAGGTCAAAGAGAGTAAACAGAATACTGTGGGCCAGTGGATGTTGAGCAAAAAGCTAGAGATTTGTCCCTTGTTAAAAAGCTACCCAGGTTTCACAGCTAATGTTTCTTGCATAGTTTAAAAGCTGAAAAGTAGAGAGAGACACTCAACTTTCAAACCAAAGCCTGAAGTACCCCCAAGAAGCACTTTAATAAGCGTGTCCTGCACTACAGGAATGACAGAATGATACCTTTTAAGTAGAATGAAACATCATATTAAATCAAAAATCAGGAGTCAAGAACTTCTGGGAGTTTTTTGGTTCACTACGTCAAGACAGTTTCTGTATCTACAGCTGTAGCCACCATTAATTTTACACCTTATTAAAATATCAACCCCAGCATTATGCAGCCTATAGATCTTGCTGAGCTAACTGCTGCCCCCCACTCGTGTCCCTTGACCTCCTCCTCCTCCTGCTATGACAGGAAGCCATAGCCGAGGGTGTCACAGGAAACATGTCAGGCTGCTCTCTTGTTTGACAGTGGCTGTGCAGTTAAGCCACACATAATTTTAAGTTTTTAAAGAAGAAACAACCCCCCCCTTTCTCCCCCTGGTTGAGTCAAACGTAACAGCAAATTATATTTCAATTTGGTGCCTACAAACCACTTTTTAAGTTAAAGGATTAAGGGTTGAAATGAATATGTAATATTTCACTGAATCTTACTGTTCTTTAACATACTAGAAGCCACAGTGTTATTGAGTGGGATGCAGAAAATTGGTCTGAGATTTTCAAGCTGTAAATGTCTTTGTAATAATGAAAACACTTCAAATCTTGGAATATAAGGAGTGCACACTGACAGTGCTACACAGTGAAGTCTTGCCCTTTGAAAAACACAATGCAATGCAGTTGATTGCCATTGGTGTTCCTGCTCACAAAACTTCACCATCGAATTTGGCTTTTGGTGAGTCACAAATCTCTCTCCAGCTTCTTTTTTTTGTTGAGAGATGGGGGAATCCCCATGCTGGTATGTTTCAATTCACTTTTGCCCTATTTGTAAAAGCATTTTGAAGTTCTGTAAGACTGAAATAAATGAATTGTGTGACGTCACTGTTGAGAGTCAAAATACAAGGTTACGAGAAGCTGTGCCATCATAAGCTTGCAAAAACATTCTCCCATATTTCCCTTTCATTTAGCTAACAGTTTTAAAATTTTTAATGTGCATTTTGAGCTCTAGAGCACACTTTTACCTAGATTTTTCCTGGGACTCAAAAATTATTAATTAATGGAACTGACAGAAACATTTCCAAGGAAAGGGACTCGTGAGCATTCAGAGATTCTTTGGTGTTACTACAGGCAAAGCCACATTTTAAATACACTACAGAAATTGTATAGAATCCCATTCAATCACTGGAAATTTGGTTTTTCTACTATTCCTATAAATTATTTGCAACTGATTCCATGCAATACAAGCAAAAATACTGTCCTTCATAATCAATAAAAAAACTTGAGGTTGCAACTGTTAAACATCAATGGTGTAATGTTTGGGCAGTAAAATGCAGTTTCAGTAGAGTAACATACTCAAATTTACTCAAGTAATGAGGCTGCACCTTAGACCCTGAAAATGTGCAGGGACTGACATTCAAACACTGGTTGACATAGCAGGGTAATTTGAAAGACACATCCTGCCTTTTACAAAGAAGGAGCAAAGTTTAAAATTTGGTTGAATACAGTGTAAATTTACCTCTCCTTGTGGAGGGAGAAAATTCCTTTGAATGGCAGTTGTTTGGGTTGAGTTTGTTTTCCTCCTTTCATACACTGACTCCTGGCCCACTCTTACCTTGTATCTTGTCTCTTTTTAGAACTCATGATTCAACAGGGTTAATAGAGGGAAAATCGACAAGAGACAGACCACGGGGAGATATTAATTTAGAAGTGTTGCCACGCTTCCAAATTTTACATGTAGCTTGTTTTGAAAATGGAGTTGCTATTAAAACATATAAAGCAGCAAACCACTTGTACTTCAGAGGCCTTTCCATGGCCAGGTAGTAGGACCAGGGAGAATGGCTTTAAACTGACACACGTGGCTTTAAACTGACACAGGCCAGGGTTAGATTGGATTTTGGGAAGAATTCTTTACTGTGAGAGTGCTGAGGCCCTGGCACAGCTGCCCAGAGAAGCTGTGGCTGCCCCATCCCTGGAAATGTCCCAGGCCAGGGTGGATGTGGCTCTGAGCAGCCTGGTCCTGTGGAAAGTGTCCCTGCCCGTGGCAGGGATTTGGAACTGGAGGATCTTGAAAGTCCCTTTCAATCCAAAGCATTTTGTGATTAAGTAGGAAGAAGAGGAGGAAGATTTTTGAGGAGCAAAGCAGCAGCAAGTTAACTTAACTTGTACAGAGATACAAATTATCAGTGTTTTGATTTTGGTGTTCCTTTCCAGGACCTTTAGGAAGGACAGTGGATTTTAAGTGATTTAACAGAGATCGACTATGACAGTTGAAAACAAATGTCTAAACAAAACACTGGTAAACACACATATTCTGTTTTAAATGTGTCACTGTAAGTGCTGTTAGCCATTGCCTTGAACAATTTTCCAGAACAGCCTTTTCAGCATCACAGAAGATTACAGCATGCAACCTTTTATAAAACAAGACAGTTTATTAATTAGGGCAAATAATAAGGGTGAGGAAAGTGATCTCTGGCTGTGTCAGTTGATAAATAAATCAGTGAACCTCCTTACTGCTGCAATAAGAATGCTGCTGTGTGATCTATCAGTTATGCTTTCATAGGTTGGGGCTTGCCAGGGTTTTCGTGAATTAATTAGAACAGCAAAACCAAAGCACCACGTGGAAATGCACTTCCTCACCACAGCTCCGGAAAATGTGAGTTGTGAAGCATTTGATTCTGGTCCTGTCAAAGGCTATGGCAAGGTTTTTATTGGCTTCAGCTGAACTGGGGCTGGAGCAAAAAATGAGATAACTGATCGCTTCAGGTAATAAAAAGCGTAATGTTCTGCCAAATTATTTACCACAGTGCTGTTGCCAAACCCAGTTTAGAGTATTCTATTGTTATGATGCCCACTTCTATTAACTAGAATGTTTCAGTCTGATCTGCCCTTAAAAGTTACATTTGAAATGTAAAAATCATAGCAAAATTCCTTATAATTCCTGAGATTACCAGCTGTGAATAAGATGAATTTATTACCTGCAGCTTATTAGCAACACTGTTTATAGCTTTAAATAAACAATCAAAGTAATAAAAAAAGCCAAAACCCAGCAACAAATCAAACTTTTCTATCCACAGTCTCTCCTGCCAACAACAGTTCTGCTGCTGCTATCCTCTCTTGTTCAATGTGGTATAGAGAACAGGAAGGAAATTCCAGATTCAAAAGTTGTTTTCAAATATTTCAAGCATGGTCTTTCTCTACTGTAAACATCTTTCAATTAATTCCTGTCACTACAAATTTATCACTCTCATTTCCACAATAAAGAACTTGCATATGTTTTCCTCTCAAAAATCTTAAGCAGATCTTCTCAAATAACCTGCTCTTTGTTTAGCTATTTTTTTTACTATTTCCAGTCATTTCTGAACTGTATAAACACTTACTTAATCTTATGAACATATTTCCTTCTACTCATCTGTCAGAACATTTTGAATGCACTTGTCACTGGCTGTATTTAATTCTAACTCTGATTTAAACTGCTGTCATTTTTTTGGGTGATGGGTAGCAATATTTTAAGCTCTGTTAGTCTGTATATTATTTTGTAAAACAATTTTGAAATAAACATTAATATAAATTAATCACTGGGAAAGAGAAAATGCTAATTTAGCCTATGATTAAAAAATGAAAAAAACCTCTGACAGCTCTTTTGATTTCTTTCTTGGTAACAACATGCTCTCTTCTGAAAGCACTTAAAGGGGGCTTGCAAGAAAAATGGAGACAAACTTATTAGCAGGGCCTGTTGTGACAGGACTAGTGGTTTAATGGTTTTAAACTAAAAGAGGGCAGATTTAGATTAGATACAAGAAAGATTTTTTCTTTTACCATAAGTGGGGGTGAAACACTGGCACAGGTTGGCCACAGTTTAGGATCCATCCCTGGAAACATTCAAGGCCATGTTGGATGGGGCTCCATGCATTAAAGGTGTTCCTGCCCACGGCAGGGGGGTGGAATTAGATGACCTTTAAAGTTCCCTTCCAAATGAAATTATTCCACTATTGTATGATTCCTCATGCCTTATAGAACTCACTGGTAGGGAAAAGGGCCATGGTTTGTTTTCTTTAACATTGGCAATTTCTACTCTGGACAAAATCTTCCTGCTCCACTGCTCCAGTTTACCTGAGCATCTGAGGTTCTGAACCATGAACTGCAGTCACTGGACTCTTCAAGACAAAAGCCAACATAACCAGGTGTCAACCCTCCCATCTTCCTTGACTTCTGTCAGGCCTTTGGTGAGATGATTTAACACAATGGTGTGGCCAAAAAATACCACTTTCCTAGGGGTAGTGAAGTAAATATGATCCCTCCAGTGAGGACCAGAACAGGCATGCAGAAGCAAGGCAGGAAGCAGGAATTCCTCATTTGATAATGGTGATTTCACTCTGAAGTGGAGGCACACATGATACAGTGTGAGTGAATTTTCACAGAGGAAGGAGGGCAACTAGACAGAGCAAATATGGAGCTCAGTGAATTTCACTAAATTATGCCACTCTTGATTTATCCTCTGGAAAAAAATAGTCAGAGCTGTGCTTTTTCTTCCAACCATATAAGAGGAGCTGAGCTCCCCAGAGACTACCCAAATCTCCTCCTATATTTGAACATCCAATGAAGCTTTTTAACCAGTCAGCTGAACTGATATTGAAAATACAGTTGATGGGATAGATGCTTCATTCTCATTATGTGTCTTGAGATAACAATTCTTTCTTTCATTCCTGCTCTTTTCCATAGCACCTACTCTACTGAAACACTGAAGCAGTAGGGGCCATCAGATGCAGGCCCCTTGCTGCCTTCTGCATTCTGGGAACCTCCAGGAGCTGACACTTTTAAAGGGAGCAGACAGACTTCAAAGCATCTGGAAAAATATTTCATTTAACTGGTGCAGTTTAACATAAGTTTTGAAATGGCCTTGTTTTAATTTCTGAAGCAGTGCCTGCCTCATTTAAGAAACAAGAAAAACCTCTGATTAATCAGTAGTTTAAGCTTCAGTTCAATTTCTCTAAAGATCAGCAAGTACCAAATATATAAACATCCATTATATTACATTAAATACCCAGCATTGATATCATACAAAGGAAAGTATTTTCTAGTAAGAGTTAAAATCCAATACTCCCTATTAAAAACACAAGTTTGTTCAAGATGAAAGGTTTTATATAAGTGGGTTTTTTACTACATGTTATTGCACATTTCTCCCACTTACCTTATACCAGTTCTGGCCCTTACTAGATCCCTTCATGAATTATCCAGTGAAAACATAAGACAGCTTTCTCAAGAGTGGGTGAGTTGAGGGAACACAAGTGCCAGTGGTGGCACCTTGGAAGGAGTGGAGCCACATGACCAGGAGGAGGAT